AAGAGATATTCTGATCTGAAGTATTCATATCAAACTTTATGTTTAGACTTTTCCCCTAATTTGTCTACTTGGGATTCCTGAGTTCTTATAGTTATAGGAACACAATTCATTTAAAATTTTAGCCAGATTAATTGTCATTGCATATTAGACTGTTGAAGAGGAAAAAGTTACGTCTGGCACAAAGTACAATCTCAATCAAAGTTGATGAATGTTGAGGATATATATACTCTTCAGTTTCCCTGGGAAACGTTTCCTGCCAGCATCTTTCCCCAGAGCTGGACCTCTGAGAGTGGGCTCCAGCAGGTATAGGGCAATGGGCAGTGTCTGTGTATGGAGTCAAAATATAATATTTTGAGATTCATTTTTAGAGACCTCAGATTAAATTAATTTGTAATCACTCCTGGTATTTAATAATTCTGTAACTGGGAAGCAGAATCTTAGAAGTGGTACAGTGGAGAACTTTTAAGAAGAATTTGAAATTAGGACTTGTGAAGAAAATTTAATGGAACTGGGTTGAGTTTAGCGTAAAGGAGAGAACATTGCTGAGTAACCTAATACTTTGAAAACATATTCATTATGTAATGAGCCTAAGATGAAATTAAACCAGACAGTATCATGACGGAGCTCAGTTATCCATACTGTATATTTGTCATGAGTCATTATAATTTTATATTACTGGGCTATTGAGGTAGTACAGTGTTGAAGCAAGTACAATGAATTTGGGGTCAGGAGAACTGAATGCTAGATATTTTCTAACTCTATCACCTAATAGCCGTATGACTCTTGAGAAGTCATTTAATGCTCTAAAACTCAGTTTTTCCAATTCTAAAATGGGAGCGAGGCAAGAATTGTTCTACTTAGTTCATGGTGCTGTTTGGAAGGTTAAAGGAGATAATGGCTATTAAGGCTCTTTATTATCTATAAAGTTCTAGCCACAGGCACAGCAGGCCCCATTGTTATATAAGTGTTCTTATAAAATGCAGACAGAATTAAGACTGTGGGCACTCCTTCCCCAGAGGTCTTTAAACACAGAGCATCTCCTAGTCCAGATGTCCTAGCCACAGACTTTCTGAAGGCAGGGGAATGAACCAGAACACCTTGAAATGTCATTCCACTCCAGGACTCTCAGCATCTGCTAATTCCCTCAAGCCAGTGTGTCAGAATAGAGCAGCCAATGTGATAGAAGTTGTTTTCTTCTTTTCTAATTTTTGGAGAGTTTTCCATTCAAGTGGAATTGAACAAGACACATAGGGAAGAACACTGGGATCTAACCAAACACCTGCTCTGGGTTGGATTTTCTCTCCATAAAGTGAGTCCTCCTGTTTTTTGCTCTAAGTTGACTTGTTTGGCTTGACTTCATGTGGCTTCTCTGTTGAAAGACATTGGACATATTTATGTCTGGGGTAGAACTGATTCCCTAGAGGACAGTATTTATTGATTGTGAGCTTATGAAGCACTGGACAGATTCTCTCCTTTGTAGATGGCAGAGATGCTCCCAAAGGTGCCCGTTGACTTATCCAGAAGGGGAGCTATTGTTGTCTTGGGTGTGAATGGTCAGTCTTCCTCACAGAGAGGTGAGAAACCAGGGAACATGACAGGGAGGGACTTGCAGTGGATATTTTTTTGGAGAAAACCTAGCCCGATATTACCACCACTCCCTCCTGTAGCATAGTCTCTGTGTGGCCTTTTAATGGCTTAAAGGAGCTACTTTGCTGGTGAGCACAGAGACATCCAGCTCCACAAGTGAAATGGGAGTGTGGCAAAAGGGGAATGAAGAGAATAACAGAATATTAGAATTTGATGGGAAGCAGTCATCTTTTACCTCAGCCTCCCACCGAGTGAGGAATCTCAGAGCACCTCTGAGGTGGCCACGGCTTCTCTGACTAATAAGCCACCTCCCGAGAAAGCCTATCCTGGCCTTGGTCGGACCAGGCGAGCCATGGGAAAATGAGCTCATTTTGTGGTGAAATCTTTCTCTTTCAAATTTTACTCCATGGTTTTCTGTCATTTCAGAGGATTCTAGTTCAAATCTGTTTGTTTCAGTTAGCAGTCCTTTCATTATCTGAAGTAAATCCTCATGACTTACCTTAATTTTCTTCTCTGAATTAAGTCTGCCATTTCCTCCAGCCATTCTTGAAGAACATATATTTCAGATACAGTATACCTTTCTCTTGTACACACTGAAGTTCTGTAAAAGTTTCCCTTTTCTTATCCTAGAGGTTATAGAGCCCCCACCTTTTATCTGGTTCCTAGAATGAGAACTATCTCATTTTAAGAGTTGAGACCCATCTCATATAGAGGTGGATCTGATAATTTGTTCATGCACTGAGATGAGAAACAGGAACCTTCATTGTTGTCCTGGATGCTGGGATTATGCCTGATCATTGGTCCCAAAGGGGCGTCCTGTGAAATAACACCTGGCATACCTGAGCCCTGAGTTCACATGGAGATACCCTTTCAGAGATTTCAAATATTTCCAGTCCTGAATGGCAATTTTAAGAGAAGGCAAATTACCACATGTTCTCTACTAATCAAAAAAGTTTGCCAATGTCTCTCTCCTCCTGAAATCTGAGGAGGGAACACCAGAATGCCTGGCTGATGGCTTGAATGGTGCACTGACTTGCTCTGTATCTTCTTCTGGGTTCCTCCAGACAAGCAATTGCAGGATCCCCTGCTCCCAGAGTTAATATGGTTTCAGGCCACAGCTAGGAATTAGACACAGAACACAGGACCTGGCCCCAGAGGCTTATAAATGAGAGAAGGAGACACCAAAGGCTAAAATCACTTCCTAGCATTTGCTTTCATGCTTTCCTGTGGACTCTGCTGCACCAAAACCACGTCCTTCCTGTGAGACCCCCATCCCAGAACCGCTGAGGGCTCTTGCTCTTAGTAGTTACTAAGCAGAGCGTGGGACGCAGCGCTGAACCTGTACATGGCAGTCCCTGTCTGATAACTGACAGTCCAAGATGGCACAGCACAAGTCAGAGCTACCAAGCTCTAGAATGGGAGAGGCGGTAAGTCAGCAGTGGTTTACAGGAGAGAAACAGGGTTAGAGATGTGAGTGGAGGGCCCACAATTCCACAGAAGAGCAGCTGCAGGGTTACATTTAGAAGCCAGGTCTGTTGACTTCCAATCCAAAACTCTCTTTAATATCATAGATGTAAAATTACATATGGCATCTGTATTTACATTCATATGTATATATATATGCGTGGGTGTGTAAAATTTTCTCTGTAGGAGGCTTCATTTCACTCATATGTTCTAATTTGATTCTCACAATAACCCCTCTGACAGGAAGGGAGCTGAGGCTTGATCACACATGCAAATGGTAGCAACTGGATTCACATCCAGGCCTGGTTCCAGCTCCCTCTTCTTCCAGGTGCTGGGCACTGTTATTTGATCTCAGTGGGTATTACCAAGTCCTCTTCAGGACCCCTGTGAAACGACTAGGCATTAAGTCAATTCCTTCCATGGGGTACACACGGTCTTCCTGACACTGGACAGGCTCAGCTCCTAATCTCTTTGGTTCTAGAGGACCCTGAACTGTCACATTCGCTGCTAAAGAGTCAGCCCCTCTGCCACACATGACTTTTAGGTCATTACTGAATGGCAGTGGGAGACTTGAACAAATGCAGGGTCCTCAGAAAGTCAGACCAAGGGTGAGAATTTTAGAGCTGCAAGGGAGCTTACCAAATATATAACATCCCTTGAATTTTGTAGATAAAGAAATCGAGGCCCAAGGATTTGGATTAAAGGATTTGCCCAAGTCATAATTATTTAGTAAACCAGAACCAAGTGTCCTGCTGAGGATGAAGACCGGAAATTCTTCACATTAGTCATGAACTGCTGGGAAGTTGAGAGAGAGGGGATAAAACAGTCAAGAGAGTTCCTCTGATACAGGTATGATTGAGAGGGGGGAAAAAAGAAGCAGCAATGTGCATGTAGCCAGAAAACAGAGCCAGAATGTGAACTAAGACTGAAAATACAGATCTAGGGTGGGCTAAAACCTCAGTAAGTGACTTCCCAGATTGTGTTTTGTTCCCATTGCACATACAGTTGGAAGCCAAACGCAAGCCACCAAGGTTGCAGTGCAACAGCGCACAATTAGAGCGCAAACAGTTGTGGGCAGCTGTGGGAGTGCAAGCCACCTGCTCCAAGTTTACAGCTTTGTTTAACTTGGTAAGCATTAAAAACGGAGTGGAACACTCCCAGCACAACATCCCATGCCCTTTCTGGGAGGCCTTACTTGGGGAGCTGGGCTTTACCCTTGACCAGGACCTTCTCACTGTGGCCTAGAGCTGCTTTCTATTGATAGCGGTCAGTGTTGTCAATAGCCCCTAACAGAAACTGAGGGCGGTAGGGAGTATCACAGAATTATATATTTATAGAGTTTGAAGGGTCCACAAAGCCCCCAGAATATACCTTCTCTCCTGTTATTCAGATAAGAAAATTGAGATCCAGAGGGGGTGATGTACCCAAAGTTACAAAGTTAGGGGCAGAACTGACTTTTAATGTCTGAACTTCTGATCCTTTGTTCAGTGCTCCTTCCTCTAAGCCCCACAAGGTTTATAAATAATGCCAAATAGGGAGGTATAGCATTAGAGAATGTTATGACTGAAAGGGACATTGTTCTCAATTCCCAGTGTTTTAGGTTGTCACATGACAAGGGGGTACTATTGGAGGGTGCATAGGGCCCAAGGATGCTAAATAGCTTGAAATGTGGTCATCCTGCATAATGAAGAATCCCAGATACCAAGTGTCACCTTGTTGAGAAATATTTTGTCCATCATTTTACATTATAGTTGAGTGATCCAAGCCTAGAGACAGGAGATGCTTGACTAGGGTCCCAAAGGGAGTCCATATTCCCCGACTCCATCCTACTGAGCCCCCGAGTTAATTAGCAGCACCCTTGGAACCTTCAGCAAAGGGGAGACTCTAGATCCTTCCCCACCCAGCTCCTGTTGCCCTTGCACCTAGACCATTTCCAGGCCAGCACTTACTTGGACTGCAGGCCCTCCTGTCCATAGGGCTGCAGCAGGTACTGGTGCACAAGCTTGTCCCTGAGCGTCCCAGCCAGTTTTATTTTCTTTCTGGATCTGTGCAGGTTGATGATAAAAAGTGTAATGGACCCTCGAACATAGTTGTGGCTGAGATTCAGACAGAGAGAGAGAGAGAGAGAGAGAGAGAGAGATGGAAACAGTAGTCAGTTAAATGCTTCTAAATAATTTACAGGCTGCATGAAACAGGACAGCCCTAGGAAAGGGCACTTTATTTTATGGTTCTTGGCCACCCTAGGCCATCAAAGACAGGAAGGGCTTATTACTGTGATTTTCTGCAAAGAAGATGCTCACATCTCACCGCACTCCATTTGTTTTTGTTTAAATGCATTGCAATGATTTGAAAAAACAAAATATCTTTTTCTGAGTATGGGAGCAAAACATGCTAATTGCAATAAATAAATAAATAGATAGATAGATAAATAAATAAATAATTAAATAGAAAAAAATACAAAAAAGAAAAAAGAAAATTCCCATAATCCAAGTATTTTGGAATATAATAACATTTTGGTAAACATCCTTCCAGTAGTTTTTAGTTTATTAATTTAACAAATATTTATTCAGTATGTGGCACATGCATACATATTTCTCAGTCTTTCCATAACTGGGATCACTTTGTTCACACAGTTTTTCCAGTTCATGAGCATCGTAAACATGTTCCCATCTTATTAAGTGATATATTCTGCTTATAAAAGAATGCTAAATTCTTCAATCATAGAAATGCAACATAATTTATTTACTTAATGTCCTACTTTGGGGCATGTGGGTGGTTTTCAGTTGTTTGCCATTATAAATTATGTGATGAAGCACTTTGCACATAAACCTTTTTCACATCATGATTATTTCTGATGGATGAAGTCTTCAAAGTTGGAAACATTAGGTCAAGGGGAATGCACATTGTATGATTCCTCACCAACTCGTCATTCCGAGTGGTGTCCCTCCCTGTGGAACATGTTCTGTCCCTGCTCTGTTGAACGCTAGAGTGCTCACGTTATTGGCTTTGCTCAGTGAAATGTGGGTGGATAAGGCCTTTGGGCAGAAGCGTTAAGAGCCAACCCATGCTTTGCCATGCCCCTTTTCTCCCTGCCAGAAGACCAGCAATGTTCTTGGCAAGAGGGCTCTATTGACCTGCATCCTGGAGTGAAGGTGATGTGGAGCGGAGCTGCAGCTGAGCCATGACGGACACAGTGTGAATGAGAAATACATTTTCTTATTGAAAGCCATGGATATTTGGAGGTCTTCTGTTATCACAGCATAACCTCACTGATCCTAACTGATACACACATTTTGATAGCATTGATATTAATTCTCTAGAAAGTTTGTATCTTTTTGTTCTGGTTGACTATGTATAAGAACACACATTTCCTCATGCCCTTAAGAACACTGGATATTAACCTGTCTCAACCTGAGAGGTGATAATGGGATTATAATGTTGTATTAATTTGTATTTTTAAAAAATTCATACTGAGGTTCAGCATTTTTTTTTCATTTGGCATTTAATTTCTTCTTTTGTAAACTGACCATGTCCTTTGCCTATTTTCTATTGGTTTATAAAAACTATTTATTTATTAAGGATAGTGATCTTTTGCCTCCATGTATGTTATTAAATGTCCCCCAGTTTTCTTTGACTAATTCAGCTTGTTTACACTGTATTTTATGTATACAAGTTAAAACTTTTATGTAGTCAAGTTTATTGATCTTTATTATTTCTGCTCTAGCTGTTTTACCTACTCCTAGATTATAAAACTCTTCACCATTTTGGAATCCTTTTAAACCACTACAGGATGTTCAGAAGCCTGTGAAAACTATATGCCTACATGGCCTTTCAGTGTATATCAACAAAACTATAATGATTTCCTTCTCTCTTGTAGGAAAAAATATTTTGTTTTTAAGGGGTCCCGTAAGGCCCCATCTGGATGGGTTAATGAGAGGAAACAAAAAATGACCTGGTCCTGCCTTCAAAGGAGGAGTTCAGAGAAACTACTTCAACTTTGCCCAGAGGAAAATACCATTCCTTGTAGAAACAGCACCCCTCCGCCTCTGGATCTAAGGGTGATAATTAAGAATTGAGCCCTAGTTGATTTGGTTCAGTGTACAAAGCATCAGCCTACGGAATGAAGGGTCCTGGGTTCGATTCCGGTCAAGGGCATATGCCTGGGTTGCAGACTTGGTCCCTAGTGTGGGGCATGCAGAAGGCAGCTGATTAATGATTCTCTCTCATCATTGATGTTTCTATCTCTCTCCCTCTCCCTTCCTCTCTGAAATCAATAAAAAAAGAATCGAATGACCAAGGGCGGGTGAATATGACAACTTGTTTATTGGTTTTTAATAATATAGTTTCCAGGGCTCATGCCTGAATTTTTATATTCCATTCATTTGTGATTGGGGCCTGAGAATTTGTATTTTTAATCTCTTTAGGATATTTGGCAGATGAGTTGGGTTTGGGGACATTTGCCCAGGGCGATCCATTCAGATTATAAAAAGAGTAATCAAAGTATACCCCACCAGCTCTCTGTCATGATTTTTCTTGCATGTGTAAGGGGGCATATTATTGTGTTCAAAGCTTTTTGTATGCCTACATTGATATTCTGATAAATTATTAAATGAAAATGTCTCTTCTATCTGGTTCCCCTTCCTCTGGTCCTTCTCAATCCCCTGGAATGTGTGAATTAGCTTTTGGAACCAAATGAGTTAGGTCAGAAGAGAATGCCAATTTTCTTGAGCAGGCTTGTGTCACCAGCACTCTGAAGAAAGATGCTCTAGTGTGTCAGCATTTCCCTTCATTAAAGAACACCAGTGGTGGGCTTTAAGCTTAACTTAGCTGTGCAGAACTGAGGAAGACACCATTAACTACTGCTACTCTGGTTCAGAGTGTGAATGAAAGTAGGCATACATGGACACCAGTTTTGCTGACTATGGTAATCCCTTTTGTTAACAATCATCAAACAACCTTCTCAAAGGCCAAGTGGAGGAGGAGAGTGAGCCCCGTGCTTGCATTTATGAGTTTCTCTTCCGCAGAGCCGGGGCATAAAGAGGCCTCAGAGACTGGAGAGCAGAAGGGTGGGAGGTGGGGAAATGGTTGGGGGAGGGAAGGGAGATCTGAAATCACACATTGCTCCAGGGAAAGCCATCTTTTCAAGCTGCTTGGCAATGGTCTAATTTCCATTCACATAGTTCCCCTGAGGGAAACAAACCAGTACTGAAAACCTGCCCAGAGACTGTTGTGCAGAGGCTCTCAGAACTCCTGCAGCCTCCTCAGGTAGGAACCGGCTTGAGGACGGCCCCAGCCAGACCTTCCCTGCTTGGCTGGTGGGCAAGAGCATTAAGCAGGCCGTCTGGCTGTGAAGACACGCTTTTGGCTGGGGAGTACAGCACCAACCTGAAAGTACTGTGCTGAACATCCTGAAGCATGTATATTCTCTGCCCACAGAAAACAGTCCCTTTCCCTAAAAAATGGGGTCTGACTGAAGGTGTGGCCTGCAGGCAATTAGTCCAGGTGGTTTTTGATTCTCTTGATAAATGTCCCTTTTGTCTGGTAGAACATCTGTCTTGCTCCATGTCTCACTCATGGAGACATTTTACCACCAGCAGAGAATCCATGAATCTGGAGTTCATCTTTCTGGCTGTTCTCTCATTGCCTGACATCTCTGTGTTGCCATGGGAGGAGGAGGAAGTGAGTCAGGGAAGGGAAGCTGGAATTGGAATATCTTGGACGTAAGAGGTGGGGAATGTCATATGGGGAGGTGCATCTTGACTTCCAGATAAAAAACAGTCACTGTTCTAGAAATGTCTCCAGTGAAGCTGGGGGACTGGAAAAGGGAAGGGAGGGTGGATGATGCTCTGGAATCACAGTCATTCTCAGGGAAAGTCAATGTGCTTGAAAACTGGGTTGGTCCATTGTCTTCAAATCTAATACAAAGTTTTTGGGTTTGGTAAAAGTCAGGCCATGTTTTGCCAAACTTTTTTTTTTTGCCCTAATTTCAAAGCCCATGTGTATTTTAAGGGAAATTTAATCCACATGTTTCTGATTCATTTACACGTAACTCATCAAAATATTGTTTTGTAAGAGCCATTTGATGTCCAAGAAGCCTCAGGAACCTTTTTTATGAGTCTTCTGAAAAAAACAGGAAGTCATGTTTTGCCAATAATAAATGAACTTGAACCCCAAAAGGCTCAATTTTGCTTCAATATTCACCAGGTTCCAATGTTCTGAACTTGGCTAAGAACCGCAGCTCCTCCCCAGAAACATACATTGTCTCAGCAGAATGGTTTCGAAAAAGGTTTCTCCCAGTCAAAACATATTTGTTCTATGAACAAGAAGACCTAAGGTGAGAACTGTCATGCTGTCACTGTCCTGACTTGTTACCTCTAGAACAGAAAGCAGAAAAGCACCTGCTGGTGATGGTATGAGCATCTACCTTTTGCTCCCGAACCTATCATACAAGACAATGCTCTCCTAGGTCAGAAATGACCCACAATGCAAGGCTCTGCCATGGGAGACACTGAGGCATCAAGTAGAGGTTGTATAGTCATCAGAGAGAGTATAAAAGGAATGTCTGTGCTGTATAGGATCCTGGGCCAAAATATCTCTAAGGGTTCTTCTCAAATGTAAAGCTGTTTCACTATTAATGGTGTTATCGGCGTATAAGAGTAACGCATCAGAACTGTGGAATTCAATATAAATGCAAATTACTGGCAAGATGCTTGGCACATAGCAAGTGTTCAATACACACTGGTGTGCAGGAGTTGTGTCTATAGACACTTTCTTTGGGTTATTCTACTGGTAAGTTTACACTTTCTCACCAGTCCCTGATTTGACCAAGGATATATATTTTCAGACTACTGGTCAAGACTGAACAGTATGAAGCCAACATGCCCACTCTGGGACATTTTTGTGACCTTAGCCTTGTTGGCCACAAATAAATTGAGTCAATAATGTTTCATGACTGTTGAAACATGAGTCAATTGAGTCATGACTGTTGTGGAGGATGAGGGGGTACAGACATGGCACCTGGCTTCCCAGAGAGGGAGCAGAAACACTTCTTTGCTTGTGCCTACTTATGTGGGGTATTTGACACCCACTGACATGGAGGAGGCCAGCATTCTTACCCAGTGCAGTGCATCCATTGAGGATTTTCTTTTCTAATGGGAACAAAAAGAACTTCACCCCAATTACTATCATTAGGGTCATGTGTGGAATGGATTAGTAAAGTCTTCCTTCCTTCCTTCCTTCCTTCCTTCCTTCCTTCCTTCCTTCCTTCCTTCCTTCCTTCCTTCCTCTCTTTCTATGTGGAGGAGGAATACTACTGATCAAAGCACAGTGGTACCATTTCCCCAGAGAGGTTCTGGAGTGACTCCCCATAGAAAGAAGAGGAGAGCCGGTGATGTAGAGACACTATTGAATCTAGATGATTTGAGTAACTCGCTGGAGTCCTCATGCTAGTGAATATAGAATTCTTAACTCTGCCACCACACCTTCTCCTTCTGGCTGATGTGGTGATATCAAAGTGGAAGGGAGCTAAAAGTCTAAGTCAGAAGTAATGCCTTAATGCCCTATTTCTGCATTCATTCATTCATTCATTCATCAAATATTTACTGAGAACTTCTTTATGCCAGTCACTATATTAGACACCAAGACTACAAAAACAAATGAGACACTGGCCCTGAGTTCATGGTATACTCAGAACATTAGTGACAACTTCCATGAAAACATAAAAGAACGTCAGGATGGACGCTTGGATGAGACAAGATGAGGAGCCCTCTGTGAAGACACTCAAGTCCTGTTATACCCATGCTATCGACATTTTCCCCTGAGTCCTTAGACTTATAGTATAAAAGCCACAGACTGTTGTGCTTCCCAAAAGAGACAAAAGGTGCCAAGAATAATTTTTCTCTGTTGAAGCTGGGGGTCCACTTTGGGGTGGCTACTCCAGGGCCAAGGTGGAGACAAGGAATACAATGTTTCCTTGTGTGGTGATCAGATAACTTCAGGCCAAGGCCGTAAAGCAGTCACTCTCTGTCAGGTATCGACTGAGCTTCCTGTTGAGCAAAAGGGATGTTGAAAACCTCTGGCCTCTGCCCAAACCAGTCTCCTCTCATCCACAATAGGGACTTGTATCTAAAGACAAGACAACTGGCCCCAGGCCCCCTATGCTCAGAGTGATTCTTTGAAAAATCTTATCATGGTAAATTAATTGGCTTAGCTCTTCTCTCATCAAGGAAGGAAAAGGAGCGTCTGTTGTAACCTGACCGCTGGGGCTCTGTGCTATCCACTGCCCACATCAGCCCCTGATGGGCTTGCTGGAATGAAAGTATGGCTGGAGACACTTGTGCCCGGCCCCCGGTCTGTTTCTCTGCGTTAAGAGAAAGAATTCTCTTTTCCAGGTCTGCCTGCTCTGCTCCTTAAACCTGAAATGATGTAAGAAAGCCATTTATAGTCTGAAGGGCTTGCATTAGGCTCAGTTTTAAGTTTTTACCCTTATGATACTCATGTTTTAAAATATTTTATCTGCCAAACTTTATTTACTGGTAATTACTTTTCCTGTTTGAAATATAATTCTAATGACAGCCAGTGCTTCAGATAGAAGGAGGAGGACAGCTACACATTACCTACTACGCTGAGTTGTTGGAGGAGCAGCCCCTAAATCAGATTTTGTTTAACTTCTTAACCCTTAAAAAAGCTGAAAAGATTTTGAAAGGCTGAAAATGGCTCTGAAGCTGACATGACTACCTTGGGCACACCTGTCATCCTGGGGACCCCTGGTTTGGGATGCGCTGGTCTGGGCTGAGTTTTCAGCTGATAGCTCTCCAGCATGTCTCTTAGAAATGTTGACTTACCGTCTCCAGCTCTGCTGGTGGATCGTAGGAACAGAGTTTATGTCTCTTGTTGTGGCTTAGCCAGAAGCATACAAAAAGGCCTCTTGGGCATTACATCAACTGGCACAGAGGAAAAGCTCAGTAAATATTTGTTGGATGAAGAAGTAAATGAATAAATGGCATGCATTTTTATGAATAAATACTGTAAGTGTGAGAAAGGAGTTTACTTGCAGAGAAGCTATTTATCAGAGATCATTTGAAATACACAAAGAGCAGGTAGAATGTAATTCCAGAGGCAGTTCTCAGTGTCTTGAAGGGGTCCCAAATGGCAAGGAATTCTAAGAGGGGCCCACAGCCTGAAGACCCTAGGGTGGCTTCTTGTGCCATTGCTCTGAAGACTTACTTGTGGTGGCTTGTGCAGTGAGCATAAATCCTTAGTTTGTCCCGGATGACTCGGCCTGGCCGTGGCTTCCGCTGTAGCCCAGCCACGTGCACGGCCAAGACTTTGGGGCCGATCAAGCGCTTGTAGAGGAGAGAGAGCCAGTAATCCTGAGAAGAACAGAGACATGGAGAGTCAGGGGAAGATGCAGTTCAGGTGTTTTGAGTACACATAGACCAGACAGACCAGAAAGTACTTCTTAGCAGGAGTAAAGCCTGACCAAAGCGACTAACCCTGTAAGCACGGTCACCCGACAAAACGTTCACCCCGGGTTGGTAGTGAAGCCAGCATTGTCTAAACAAAGTGACCTTCACATTCCTAATGGGGGAATGTAAGTGTGTGTATGTGTATGTGGGGGGAGTGGGGGACGGCTCAGAGCCACATACAATCAAATGAATCAAATTTTCATTTGAAATAAGTTTCATATGAAATAACTAGTTGGAGCCTTAAATTTTCAACTTTATTTTCCTACGACTATACTTTCATACTGATTTATGGCTCTGTTTAATTGTAGAATGGAAGATCTCCAATCTTTAGGATTGCTACCAATATGCAAACCCAAAATGTTATTCTCCAAATATTGTCACTGAAGACGCCTGGTGAGGTGTGAGGGAGATGAAGCTGTTCCAGGTATAGACTCCAGAATACCATTTGCAAACCCTAGTGCTAATTCTGGGTCACCTTCAATAATTCTACAATAAAAAGAACAATTGTAAACTAAAAAGAATGTGATGTTTTTAACTATTGCATGGTCCATTTGGAACTGATTAATAAATATTCAATCTGTAACCCACACATGTATTTGAATTTACAAAAGCCTATTTACCCAACATTTTAATTTGTATTTGCTATTACCATATTTTTTTCTGTATTTGATACAAATATAAAATTTGCATTTGCATCGTGTAAACATTTATCACCTGTTATGGGGTAATGACTTCAGTGTTTACAACTCATCATGTAACACAGGGCTTCCTAATTTGTCTAGGGGCTCCCCATCCCCCTCCACCCCCCCACCTCCTGCAAATCAATTCTGGAATTCAGTGAATTCAAGGTCTTTAAGACATCAACCATGTCTTCTCAGCCTTCATCTTTCCAGGGGAAGCCTCTGAATAATATTTTTATCTTTCCTTGTGTCGCCATCTATAACATCAGCTGCTTAAAAATGTGTGGTGAGTTGCATAAATCAGAACAAAGTCTCAAAGCCTCTTTGACACCAGAATAGATCCAAATCTACCCCGAGCAGTGGGCTCTAAACCTTGCCAGACCATTTATCTTAATTAACTTTAAGTGGCCTTAGGATGACTATTACAGATAGTCTCTTATTATTTAAAATGGCAAATATTTCATCATTGTTAGGCAAATAGATACAAAATATCATTGGTTTAATTTGCTCTCATTTCATTACAATTTCTGTGTTTTTTATTGTTATTCTGTGATGTGTTTATCACAGTCACCCATATTTCTAATGAGATGTCTACCATTTTCTTACAGATTTGTAACATATCCTATATAATAATAATAAAAGGCTAATATGCACATTGACTGAACGGCAGAATGACCGGTTGCTATAATGCGCACTGGCCACCAGCGGGCAGACACTCAATGCAGGAGCTGCCTCCTGGTGGTCAGTGCACTTCCATATGGGGAATGCCACTCAGCCAGAAGCTGGCTCATGGCTGGCCAGTGCAGAGTTGGTGGCAGGAGCC